AAAATGAACACGCTACCGTCCCTGTCTGAATGATTGGATTTCTCCGTATCCTTGGAATATGTGCGTTTAAAACTCACTAAATTTAAAAATAAGTTATTCCAATATTCGCTTGGGGATGAAACGGAACTAATGATTTTAATTTAATTATATAATTAAATCTAAAGTTTTTAGCTTCCATTTTTGAAACATGGTTATTACTGTGGAGCGAAAAAACCATATTTTAAATCAGTTAATATATATATATATATATATATATATATGTAGAGAGAGAGAGAGAGTTATCAGATGAAAAGTTCAAAGGACTTATCTTGCGACCAAATTTAAATTTCGTATTGTTTTAGTCATTTCACCTCAAGCCTGGCAATAAAGTAAAACTCTGAGGGTTACTAAGTGTCCAAGACTAGAAAAAAAAGAAAAGAAAAAACACTATTAAGTAGAGAGAACAATAAAAGAACAAGAATTAAGAAGACAGCAGATAATGATTGACATTGCATTTAAATCTTTGAAGATCAATGTTGACTAGAATGCAAGAAACCGGTAGAGAATTCTACAAACGAGAATTGGGTAAGAAGAAACCCTTAGCATAGAACTTACGGTTACATCTAGTCATTTCAACTGTAAAATGAGGTGACGTAGCTTCCACTCTAATACTCTGTTTAAATTCGTAAAGTCGAGGTACCAAAGATGAGAGCCCACCAGAATAATTACCATGAAAAAATATATATATACAGAAAAAGCACAGGGAAGCTACGTGCGGGTTGTGGGAAAGTGACTGGAGCCGAAAAGCAAGGTCTGAAGCGATAACATGGCAAATTCTTCTTTTGGATTTTATAAAATCCCTAAATATATAGAAAAAGCAGACCAGTTGTAACAGCAATACACACCGCTCGTCATACACAAACACACACAAATTCACGCGCGCGCGCACACAAACACACACACACTCATATATTTCTATTAATTATATATATATAAAGTTTGGCACTTAGACGACTGGTGTTACCTTCAGCATTTCGACTCTAGTGTTTCGTAGACGGACTCTTCAGCAATCATTACGTCCCCTTTTCAGAACTATCAACAACTGATATATATATATATATATATATATATATATATATATATATATATATATATATATATAAGGCAGGATGTGTGTGTGTGTGTGTGTAACGAATGCACGGCCGCAATTTTCGACGGATTTTCACCAAAATTTACATGCACATGCTCCAAGTTAGTGGGAAAAGCCAAGACCGACGTTGCATTTCCCAACTCCCATCGATAGTGGAAATAATCGATTTTTCATGCTTCTACGGCAGTTTTCATGTAGTTTGCGGCCATTTTCTACTGGCCAGAGTGAGAGCCTATAGCTGGCTGCCGCGAATAGACAGGAAGATTCTATTGGCCAGCGTGAGAGCCAACAGCTGACTGATACGAATATTAACTAGCATGCTAGCATGCAAAAAAATCGATAGCTGCATTCGTCACAAGTGGGAAAAATTTAAATCTGCATGGCACTTTACTCCAATTGGCTCATTCGCTTGCTTAAACTCAACGTTGATTCTGATTCTGCAGAACTGGGTTGGATGTGAAAAAGTATTTGTTGTTAACATTCATTTTTCATTCGGTTTTTCCAATTACGAGTCCTTTTTTAAATATGATCGTTTTGTGTTCATTTTGTTTAGTTCTTTTTTCGTTACAGATTTAATGTTTAGTATAGAGCTTAGAAAAAATTCGCACTCCTTTAAAGGCAAGGAAGGGCAAAAATATTTTAAGTCAAGTGATAGGGATTGCTGTATGAGTAGTACGATTTTTGAATCAAGCACGGGCAACGCCGGGCCGTGCTGCTAGTAAAAGTATAAAAATGCATTTTTTTTTTAGTAAGAATAGCACCAATACATTTTCGAAGAATCAAGCCGAGCTTCTCGACTTGACGGTCGAACTCTCTGCTTTTGAGCAGAAAGGAACCCGGACGAGGTTCCGCCGAAGGGCAGAATCTCGTTCGGGGAGAAATGACCAACCCGATCCCGTTCATACGTGTTCTACGGGCATTTTTTGGCTGAGCCTACGGGCTCGGGAAACCCACGATAAATTCGGCCTTGTGCCACATGCAACCCTCGTGGGGGGTGGCTAGATACCAATACATTTTCGAAGTAAAAACATTGCCAACAATACATTATTGGAAAAGGAAGAGACAAACAATTTCCAATAGACTTTTGAGTATTATATATATATATATATATAAGGTGCAATGGATAAATTGGTGTCTAAATCACGCAAAAATAAAAATTACATTAATATCTCATTTTCACAGATATATTTATCAAATTACACAAAAATATCTTGAAATGTTAAAAGTAAATTTATTCAATTAAATCGACATTGGCTTCAACCATGGCCCCAGACTTCTTCAGGAATCTCCTTCAACTCTTCTGTACTTGTTTAAGATGGTGAATGTTGTCATAACCCCTGTCTTTATTTCATCTTTGGCATGACAAGTAGCTTTGTTGGCCTCTCGCTCAACTGTGCCCACCCACATAATTATCAAAGGTTGCTGTCGCTAGATACTTTGCGTCTAAAAAATATGACGATTTTATCGAGGTCGCTGCAATACAACTTCTTCGGTTGGCCGCTGGGTTTATTGACCAGCGCCTGAGACTTTCCCAAAAGAGAAGTGTCGAGGGGTCTTAGGTACTTTCTATACGGTATTGCCTGTAAACCCAGTCTAAATTTCGACTTGGGGTCACTTTCGCTAACGACGTGGGCGTGCTGACAAATAAAATCACTTCTCTGCCTTTTGACTGGGATTAAAGTGTAGTATCTGTCCTCGAGCGGATGAACAAGTTTTCATCTCTCAGTCGTGTCCCTGTCTGCACACAGTGCGCAACTGATGACATTATTGAAAGGTCCCCGATCTCGAAAAACATGTGCCCGCGGCAGTACCTGCCTCATTGCACTAAAGATGGGGGTGGGGATCGGTAGTCATACTGATGCCAGCGGGACCGACGGTTGCGAGAACTGGGCTATTTGGGAATCTGGCCCGGGTGAACGCGCTCGGGCTCCCCACATTAAACTGACCTTGTATCATATCCATCCAGCGTGGGAAAGCAAGAAATTACAATCGCTTCTCGGTCTTTTGTCTAAGATCAAAGTATAGTATCTGTTCTCATCAGCCTAATCTGATTTTTCTCTCTCCACGTCTATCTTCCTTTCTTTTTCACATTTTCTTATTGAAACCAAGTTATGTCTTTCACCACTTTATACGCGATCAAAACAGAATAGTCCATTATTTGTGAGGTATTGGCAGGACGTAATGGTCGTACGAACTAACAAGACAAACACAATCATAATATAATAATAATAATATCATAGATAATAATTGTTGAAACTTGAATAATGCCTGGAATAATAATGCAACACAAAATGTACTTAGAACAAAATGTATTGAAACAAGAAAGTGTACACAATATTTACATATAGTCTTTTGTATATTCCTGGTAAGAACGTTCCTGGAGAACGTGTTGACTGAGTGGCAGTCGGGCAGAATCTCTGGTTGAATCTCTTGATTCCTCCCTCTCTTCCCGGTACCAACCATATTTATATTCCATTTATATTCTCCACTATGCAAATTAGGTGGATCCTACCACAACAATAATAATATAGATAATGACAGTATAAGAATAATATCATAGCTTATAATAATAATAATAATGTATGCTTATTGACATAGTAGCACCATCTGAGAGAATCACCTCCATGAAAATTATCGAGAAATTGTTCAAATACAAGGACCTGAAGATAGAGATTAACAAGATGTGGGGAATGAAGACTGAGACGGTACCAATAGTAATCGGATCATTGGGCCTCGTGAGAAAATTAAGGAACAGTTTTACTAACAGTGTCCCGGGTAACATCAACGTAGAAGTTGCCCAGAAGATCGTCGTAGTAGGAACATCCCATATACTAAGAAAAGTGCTATCAATTAAATGAGAATTCTCCTATAGGGCCTAAGAACAATAGTTTAGACCCGGCTCTATAGGATACAAAGCAGGAAACATTACATATACAAATAATAATAATAATAATATCATAGATACGACGCGCTTTACCATTTACTCGGATTCGAATCATCCTTATTTCCCTTGTGTTCTAAATATAAGAAGAAAGTTTCATTAAGACAGATTTTTTTTCCAAGGAGTGCTGCTGCGTGGAACAGAATCCCACGTGATTGATCCCCTGAAAATTTCCATCTTGACCTCTTCAAGTCAAGTGTCAGGATTTTCCTTATTTTTCCATCATTTTCATTTCTTATCAATTTCTCTTTCATTCATATCACACACTTCATTCAGCATTACCGTTCAGTTGAGCTTGAGTAACTCTAGCTTGAGTAACTCACAAGCCTTGTATTGGGTGGAATTTAGTATCTAAAAATAAAATGAAACGCTTTGAGCAAATTGTAAGTAAAAGAATGTCGGACTCGTGCCTCTTCTCAGGATAGCTAGAAAAAAATATAATAAATTGAAATAAAACATTAAATCAAAATTTGGTCGGATTGAGTGAATGTCGAAATGGTAGATGTTGGATCAAAAGATAAAGATGAATTATCGATTGATAAAAATACAAAAATCGCTAGTCTTCCAGAATGAAAATTTTGGTCGATTTAAGAGAAAATCGAAAGATTAGATAAAAGGATTCGAACCTGTACTATCGATTAAAAGAAACAGAAACTCGAGTCAACAGGAACCAAAAATTTGGATCAAATTTTAGTCGGATTAAAAGAATGCCGGATAATAAGACTTATACCTGCAATTATTGGTGACAGTTGATTAAATAAGAACATAATATGTATTTAAATAGGCGCTATGATGAGTCAACTTCGTTGTTCAGTTTTCTTTCCCTTTGAAATGGTTAGTGTGTTATGAAGCATTAGGTGAATGTGTTAAAAATTAGTCCTTGGCTATTGTTCGGCATTCGAAGTGTTTCAAAGAAGAATAACATGCGGAATGATTTCTTTTATTAGGCCTTTATTTCGTTCGTTTTCTGTCCTGATTCGATTCTCGCTTAATCATTTTGCTACCGCTGTGACCGATGACGCCGACGTCGCTTGCCAGCCGCCGTTTCGCCGCTCATTCGTTCTTGCCAATCTGTTTGATCAAATTGTGCTCGGTCCGATCAAATCCCTCGCTTCATCTCCTCAATCACATCTCACGACTGTCAGTCGTTTACAGTTAGACACTCCACCCCATTCTCATTTCCTCGTGTGTTGCCTACGCAGTCTCACTCCTCCGAACCTCGTCTTTTCTTTCTCTTGTTTTGTGGTTAGATGATTGCAACTTTCTTTCTTTCTTTCTTTCTTTCTTTCTTTCTTTCTTTCTTTCTTTCTTTCTTTCTTTCACAGTCACACATGCATATATTCTATCCATCTATACTTTCTTTCCAACTTAGTTTTTGCTTTTTTATTTTTCTTATCTTCAATTCCTTCCTTCCTTTCTTCCCTATCTATCTATCTATCTATCTATCTATCTATCTATCTATCTATCTATCTATCTATTTGGTCTATCTATCTATCTATCGTTTGATCTCATTTTATCTTTCTTTCTTTGATCTCATCTTTCTTTCTTTCTTTCTTTCTTTCTTTCTTTCTTTCTTTCTTTCTTTCTTTTCCATACATCCACACACGCATAAAACATCTATACTTTCTTACCACTATTTTTTCTTTTCTTTTTCTTATTGTTCCTTCCTTCCTTCCTTCCTTCCTTCCTTCCTTCCTTCCTTCCTTCCTATCTACTAACACTGACATCCACAGATTTATACTTACCCAATCAACTTTGGGGCTTTTTACTTTTGCTTGTTTTCTTCCTCCTCCACTCTCATTTTCTTTCCATCTATCTATCTATCTATCTATCTATCTATCTATCTATCTATCGCTTGATATCTTCAAGTCTCTGTTTATACTTGATGTCACTTTTTTCTTTCTTTCCACACATTCAGCCATACATATCCAAATTACATCGCTGTTTTGTATATTAATTGTTTTATTTTGAACCATATAAAATTTGAACCATATAAAATTTGAACCATAAAATTTGGGACATATAAAATTTGGGCCATCTAAAATTTTCGATATTATTTAGGATACGACATAATGCTTTGCTATGTCCTCATCCAGATGTTAAGTATAATTTACCTTTTTGTTTCCATTTTCCCTAAAACATCGTCATTGCTCACGTGTTCGATCCTTTGTATCGTCTGCATCCTTCTGCAAAACCATATTTCTGTAGCTTCAAATCTCCTCTTCATCTTTGAAGCACTCACTGCCATTACAAGAAGACATCACGTAACAGTTTAGCACTCTTTTCTTTGTTTCTAGTCAAGTTTTTCTATCTCTTAATACTCTGCTTACCTTTTGGAAGGCATCTTTTTCTATCCCAATATCCCTTCAGATTTCAGTGTCACAATTTCCGTTCTCTGTTAAAACACTTCCCAGAATTTTTTTTTTTTTTACTTGTTTGATTTTGGTATCTCCGATTTGTAATTTACATTTTGGATCTATCCTTTTGCAAACAAACGTGCATTCTGTTTTCTTGCAATTGATGTTTAATCCTTTCTTTTCGCTTTCCTACATTACCTTCTGTAGGCGCTTTTGTAGCTTTCTTTCTGTGTCAGCCATCAACACTGTATCATCTGCATACCTTATGTAGTTAAGATTGTGGCCACCAATGAATGCTGCTAGGAATCTCTCTTAGAATGGCCAGTCTGTGTAGGATAAATAAATCCGGTGAAAAAAAATGCCTCCTTGTCTTACACCTCTTTCTATCTCATTATCTATCCGTATGCGGGCAGTTTGCTGCCAGTATAGATTCTTGATTATTATTCTAATATCCTTTTAAAATAGATCAAGTTTGCTGAGAAGTTCCAGCAGATATTTGTGGCGTTCTTTATCGAACGCCTCTGCGTAATCTACAGGATGGTCCGAAAGTCTCGTCATCCCTAATAATAAATAATGAGAATAGAAGAACAACTAATACAAAGCATATGTACTGGATTCAGTTTATTCGCTTTCATTGACGTTGTCACAATTATTTAGTAGTGACATGACTTTTTTGGACCGCCTGATATATATATATATATATATATATATATATATATATATATATATATATAAAATTTTCCTTTTTCATTTTTTATTTCATTTTGGACTCTGATGATCCAGAAGCCTGTTAAAGAGGTCCGGAACCTCAAAAACATATCTGTCTGAATTTCCTTTCTCTGGATATCATCCTCCTCAGGTCTACCCATTTTTTTGCATAAACTATATATATTTCAGCGTTTTTAAGTAAATGAGTCTGATGATCTGATGATCAGAAGCCTGTTAAAGGGGTTATGGTGAAATAGCTTATTACATGGAATCTTAACGTGGTCTGTTTTTTATTCAAACATATCTGCTCTGAATTTTACATTGAGCTGTCTGGATATCATCCTCCTCAGGTCTACCCATACGGATTACCTAAGTTTGCATAAACTATATATATATATATATATGTGTGTGTGTGTGTGTGTGTGTGTGTGTGTGTGTGTGAGTGTGTGTGTGTCCCCGTGTGTGTTTCTGTGTGTACAGGGCGGTTTGAAAGTTCGGAGAATAAGTAATACAGTAAATCAAAGCACATGGACTGGATTCAGTTTATTCACTTTCATTGACGTTGTCACAATAATGTAGTAGTGACAAGACTTTTGGATCGCCTTATATATATATATATATATATATATATATATATATATATATATATATATATACACAATTAGGTTCGAAAGTTCGGAGAACAAGTTATACAGTAATACAAAGCACACGTACTGGATTCAGTTTATTCCCTTTCATTGACGCTGTCACACATCGAGAAGGTCTATATGAACGACCATCATTTTCGCTGCACAAGAGGACGCGGAGCCATGTCCTGTGTGATATCTTACGAAGTTGTGTTTTGTTGCAAAGGCTCTCCGAACGGCGTCCTTCAACTAATGGGTATTCTGGTATCGTTCATGTGAAACTCTTTCCTTGAAAATACCCCACAGAGCGTTGAAATAGAAAATTATATTATATAGGGATAACATGAATTTCGGACCACCCTGTATAAAATACAGGTGTACGTCCTTCTGCATTTGTATTGTTCTCTCTGATTACATTCTGGGCATAAACATCGCGTTTTTTTTGTTCCTGTGTCTTTGACGACCCGTACTCTTCTTATCCTATCTATTACTTGATTCTGCTGCCTGCTCCATTCATCAAAATTCGGGGGAAATGAAAACTCGAAATGGGACACATTAAGAAAAGCTTTAGTAACATCACAATAGGTATAATCTTTCCCAAGGAAATTAGACGAAGAAAAAATGAATGGATGACAGACGAAATGCTGGACATGATGAAAAAGAGACAAAAAGACTATGCCAAAACGCAGAACAGAATATAGGACACTACACAATGAAATAAAGAACAAACGCAAGCAGTCGAAAGAAGAACGGTTCAAGCAAAAATGTGCAGAATTAGAAAAAAAAAGGGGTTATCCCAATTTCATCTTTAGATGGGTTAAAATATTTGTTATCAAAATTATATGACATCGCGTAACGGCCATATTCATCTAGCGATTCTACAGTCCTTGACCTGGTAACTTCATGTCTTTTCTCGCTTCTTGATAAATATAGAGGCTCAAGAGGTTTTGAGTAGAAAAATTACACGTGCATTACCTTGTATTTTCTGAAACAGACACCGGTCGAAGTTAAAAACGAAGCTCTCTTTCCGTTTATTCCCGACCAATTGGAACCCTTTTGCTTTCGTTAATATGAATGGCTGAATTCTAGAAACATAGAAAAAGAAAATACTTTAACCTTTGCAAGAAAAAGACCTTGAACCCGCAAAAATAGCAGTTGTGAGCGGATTAACATTTTATCACCATCATAATCATCATCATAATCATCATCATTTCCATAAGAGAACGTCAGTCGTAGTGACCACCTCTCTACAAATGTCTCGATAGGTATTCATTCATGCGTAATGTGTCGTGGGTGAGTCAGACCTGGCGGAACCCATCCCTTTCCAGGTCAAAACAACAAAATTCAAAATGTACTTTTGCTAACACCACCAAAATGAATTGGGTATTGTTTTCTTTTTTTTATCTTTCTTCTACACAGCCTCTTTTTAGGCTAACAATTAAAATATTACCAACCACGAAGTTTTGAATTCTCTGGCATTATTCACCATTTTGAACAAAATCCAAATACTGATTTGATAAGATTTTTATTTGCGTTTTTTTTTATAAAACAGACACACAACCATTCACTTACAGAATCTCCTCAACCCCCAACACCGAGAAAAAAATTACACACACACACACACACATATATATATATATATATATATATATATATATATATATATATATATATATATATATATCATGAACTATCCTGTTGTATTTGACGTGTCAAGTACTATCAGCTAAGTTTCTAGAACCGAACACCCAGTCTACCCACACATATGATCATATGATTTCATAATAGTGGTGACGGCATGTGAAGAAAGAACCACACTTTTCAGAAGAAACAAAAACATAGAAAGGGCGAACATAGTGTTCCACGAAGTCCCCATAGACTTTCCTCAGATTTTGAATTCATAGTTTAACTTCACTTAGATTGTCTGCCAACCAAGGCTAAAGAGTCCTTCCTGTCCTATTATTTAACCCGCAATTAAGAGGAGAGGAATGGATGAATTCATACCATTCCAAATATTATTTACACATAAGTGAATGTAACGACTGAAATTCGAACTCGGCATTCCAATTTTTGGAGCCGCTACCCATGACACAATCCATACAGCCACCGATATATATATATATATATATATATATATATATATATATATATATATATATATATATATATATGAAAAAAAAATATATACAAATACGCCCATATACTTGCACGTACTTATATATCTCTTTCTCTGGGATTATAAATACAGTGCTCAATATTATTTAAGTTAGCAGCGCTATTAAGTATATATTAAAGAATATGCAGAATATCCGACGCTGATAGCACGACTCGGAGTTCCATGCAATTGCAATATATATATATATATATATATATATATATATATATATATATATATATATATATTCACTATAATTGAGACAATAGAAAACTTCAGAGCAGATACATTAGAAGGATTTATGACTTCCATGAAAATAAATGGATACAACATTCAAAAACGCACTATCCAGACGGTCTTAATCACAAATTGAACAATATAGATATTATTAATATATAATCTCACAAATCAGGAAGCCCCACACTTATATATATATATATATATACACACACACACAATTTTTAATTTGTAGATCTGATGAATTTGATCGTGATTACGATTCCAATGAAATAAATCATATCCATGGAATATTAGTGTTTGAGCCTTTTATATTATAATTTTACTCTGTCCTGGACATTGAGTTCTTATGTATTTACCACACACACACACACACACACATATATATATCTATATATATATTGACCACTAATATTATCTCTCACTCTCTTTCTTTATATATATATATATATATATATATATATATATATGTTGCAATTGCATGAAACTCCGAGTCGTGCTATCGGATATTATGTATATTCACTGGATATTATATATATTCATATATATATATATATATATATATATATATATATATATATATATGACAAAAATTATAGTTTTATGTTATGCTATATTTATGGATAAAAGTTCTCATCTATCTGTGAAAATATAAAAGTGGACACTGAGGTAGACATCAAGCGGAGACCTCAGTATCCAGAAATAGGTCAAGAACATTATGTCCTCATAAAAGACACTGGAACAAGAAATGCGATATTTATCATTAGAACGATATCAAGGAGAGATAGGCAATTGCAGAAGAACAGGTATTTATGTTTTATAGACTATGAAAAGGCATTAGGTCACGCATCACACAAAGAACTATTTTAACTGCTAGGAAAACTCAATTTAATTAGCAAACATATTAGAATAATCCAGAACATTTACTGGCAACAAACCGCCTGTAAATGGATGGAAAATGAATTGAGGAAGTGTACAAAAATATGAAGTCGGGGTGGGGGATGAAATAAAGATGTATCTTTTCACGGGATTTATCTAAAATATTATACGAGACTGTCTTAAGAAAACTAAAAGTCCTACATGTCCTACAAGGATTTATTATTAGCGAATTTTAAGAGCATAGGATTCGTATAGAGTACTATGTAGATTATAGACAAAAAATGCCTTCCAAAGCATTAAGAAACACAAAAATGTCGTTAGAAACAAAGAAAAATGTGCTAACAGCTATTCATTATCAATCATCCTATATGGTAGTAAATCCTAGACCAGCAATGAAGAGATTGATTTGGTTTTTTTACGACTTATCAACCTTTTGCAGGTTATTTAAAGCCAAAAAATATTTTAGATTGTAAGAATGTTTTGGACATAATAATGATTTACCGACACAAGTCTTACTAATTAACCCATAGCTAGGGAGATAAGAAGTCGATTCATACATTTTCTTATGGTATTTACTCTTAAGTGGATATAATGAACCCGACTGAAACTGGAACTCGGCTCCCCGATTTCCCATTCCGTGCTGTTATCCATTAAACCACCCATACATCCAAGCTTACAGCACATGATCTTCCCAAGCGGCCACTCATCTACATACTCAACAGGCCCGACGTCGCTTAACTTCGGTGTTTTAATGTGATATAGCCGTAGAATGATGAGAAGACGAGGCAACAGGAATGTGACTCTACAGAAAAATGCTGGACGGAACATATGTTGAAACAATGAAGGGAAAACAGAGAGTAACGTACGTAAGGAGCTTGTGTGGAAGAACAGGACAGGGATGGGATATTAAGGATACAAGCATTGTTAAGAGCTACAGGGGATAGGAAGCTGTGGAGCGTCATGATTGTCCACGTTCTGAGGGGACGTGGCACATAAAAGAAGATAAGATGTAAGCATAAGTTAACAATGTTTAGCACTCGATCATCTCTTGATAACAATTAGTTCTGGTGTTGCTGCTTTTAAATTAATAACCCAGTACATTCGTATTGCGAAAATATCTTTTTTTTTTTCGTGTTCTAAGTAATTTAATTAATCCGTAATTCGATAACTGACTTGTTCCTTCGTACAATGAATATAACAACAGACGTTAAAATGAACACATTTCGTTTGTACTGTAAGGGCATGAGTAAGGACTGAGAGGGGAAGAGAATGAATAATTCCAGACATTTAGGAATGTTTTTCGAGTGCGTATGAAATAAACCCGCTTTCCATTGGGGATAACATGTCCATTAAAAACATTTCTTGGCTACAAAAATAAGAACTATCGAACAAAGTAAAAAAAAAAAAAATTTTTTTTCACTATTTCTTATAATAATACTTTCAGATTTTCAGGAGAAAAATGACTGATTTCCAGTCATCCATTTTTTTTTTTTAACTCCCTTCTCATTTTCTACCCAAAGTCAAATATTTCTCCTTCCGATTTCCAGGATTCCTCAATCCTCCCTGCCCCCAATTTTGAAGTGCCATACGTATAGAAAATGAATTAAAAACAAGGACTCACAAAATGTAACCTCCCGTCAGATTTATTCAACGGGAGTAATGTAGCTTATATAGCGTTGAAAGGCAGGTCCCCGTACGATCACCGAAGTTAAGCAACGTCGAGACTGGTCATTACCTAGTTTCCGCTTGGGAATACCAGGTCCTGTAAGGTTGGCTGTGTGGTTGGTGTAATGGATAATGGTTCGAAATTGTTAATCGGTAGAGCCGAGTACCAGTTCGCACTGGGTTCGTTATATTCACCTACGTGCAAATAACCCTTGGAGAAAGGCATGAATCCACCTATTTTCCACCCACTTATGGGTTAATTACAAGATTTTTATCACTAAATCATTATAAATCTTAAAAAAAAAAAAAGATTCTTACTATCTCAAATTATTTTTAAGTTTTAAATAACCTGCAAAGGGTTGATAAGCCATAAAAAAACGATCAATCCCTCAATCCGATTTTACTAAAAATATATATTTTTTCATTTTAAATTGTAATTCATTTTCGTTTTTTACTTGCCATCAATAATAATTTAAATTTTTTCTTTTTTTTATGTGAAATTTTTTATTTTTGCTTTGCTCAAATCTTTGCCGAATTTAGAAGAGTACTTGCCGCTCTTCAAAACATCCATGTATTATATCAGGTCATCCCATAAGTTCTGTGCGAATTTTAACTTTTTGTTAAAATGAACGAAATTTAAAGAGTATTTTATAATGTCTAATGGAGCTGAACATTATTTTTATGTTGAGATGCATTTAAACTGATCAAATTTTATTTCAGAAAACAATAAAATTAAATTTTGTTTGATTAAAACCCATGTAAGTACGCAAGAATCATTTGAGGCACATAATGCTTTATGAGTTCAAGAAAGGAAATTCAGCAGCCGAAGCGGCTAGAAACATTCACTCAGTTTATGGAGAGGAATGTGTGAATGAAAGAACTTGCAGAAGATGGTTTGCAAAATTCAGAGGTGGAGATTTCACCCTTGAAGATGAAGATCGAACCAGACATCCATTTGAGTTTGATGAAAAGCTTCTTGAAGCAGCCCTTGAAGAAAATCCTGCTTTATCAGTTGAGGAATTGGCAGTGGTTCCTAGTTCAAACCATACAACTGTTCATCGTCATCTTCAACAACTTGAAAAAGTTCCTAAACTTGGAAAATGGGTGCCTCATGAATTGTCTGAAAACAACCTCAAATCCCGAGTTGACATCTGCTCTTCTCTCCATTCTCGCCAAATTCTTTCACCTTTTTTGGATAGACTTGTGACTGGCGACGAAAAATGGATCTTTTATCGAAATGTTAAGCGTCGTAGACAGTGGCTTGGTAAAGGGGAAGGACCCCAGCCACAGAAGAGAAGGGAAGTTCATGGGCAAAAGGTTCTTCTTTCAATCTGATGGGATCGCCAAAGAATAATCCACTTTGAATTCTTACCACCTAATGCAACAATTAATGCTCAAATATACTGTCAGCAATTAGAGTGTTTGAACCAAGCTTTGAGGAAAAAAAACCTGCTCTAGTGAATCGAAAAGAGGTGATGTTTCATCAGAACAATGCGCGACCCCACACAGCAAGAATCACGTCACAAAAGATCGAAGAACTTGGTTGGGAGAAAATTCCTCATCCACCTTATTCTCCCGATCTTGCTCCTTCAGACTACCATTTGTTTCATAGCTTACAGAATCATTTGGAAGAAACAGCTTTTGTAACACAGGAAGAGGTTAAAACTGACATTTGTGAGTTCTTCGAATCAGAGCCAAAAGAATTTACAGTAATGGAATTAGTAAGCTTGTTAATAGATGGGTGGAAGTCATAGATAATCAGGGAAAATACATTGTTGATTGAATCTGTAAATAAATGTAACATTTGGTCACTTGTTCAATCATTGGAGGCGATGTAATAAAGTTGTTTTCTATTGAGATAACCTGTCCGCTAAAATTTTTACTTGGTTAAAACACTTACAAAAAAAGTATCGAATAAACGAGAAAAATAATTTCCCTTAATTTTTATAATGATACATTCAGAAATAAAATGACAGCGACCCTTATTTCTCTATTTTACCTCTCTTTTCTTTTTTTTTACACCATCTAATTTTGTGTCCAAAGCACGTACTTATTTTTTGTACTGGTCAATTTAGCCCTGGTCTCAAGTCAAATATATTCCCTTGCGATCCCAGGCTTTTGTCGTACAGATAGAAAATAAACTGAGCAGGAAACAAACAAACAAACAAAAAAATGCGTAAGACATTGAAAACTAAACTACTTTCTATTAATCACCATAGAGATCCTTCCCTGCTCCCCATTAGAATGTCTGATAGTCAACTTCTTGAGAGCAACTCCCTGCGTCTGCTCGGTCTCACGCTGACTGCTGACCTGAGATGGAACAAATACATTGAGTCAATTGCATCGTCCACCGCGAGGAAAGTTGGCTCTCTGTGCCGCGCCAGGAAATTTTTCTCCACGCAATCGATACTCCAAATATACAAATCAACCATTCGCCCTTGCATGGAGTATTGCTGCCATATATGGTCTGGTGCACCTTCTGTTTACCTCGGATTTCTTGACAAGATCCAGAGGCGGATATGTAATATAATTGGCCCTGATCTGGCATCTCGTCTACAGTCGCTCTCTCACAGACGTGCCGTCGTCTCTCTCTGTCTTTTTTACAAATACTTTCGTGGCAATTGCTCCGCTGATCCGCTTTCACTGGTTCCCAGCCTCCATGAATTCAAGCGCCCTACGAGGCTGGCATCCCGCTCTCACCCTTACACTGTAGAAACTTTTAAATGTAGCCGTCTCTTCTACTCCAATAGCTTCATACTTCGCACCTCTCGCCTGTGGAACACCCTTCCCAATTACTGTTTCCCTGAGAGCTATAATCTCCAACTATTCAAATGTAATGTCAATCGACATCTCTAGTTACCTTGATCTGTCCACTATCCTTCTCCTCATCCTTTCTTCTATCATTCCTATCCGCTCTCGCTCCAAATCTTCCGCACCCCCCTGCATCCTAGTGGCTTCACGCCTTGCTTGGGGCGTAATGCTTTAAAAAAAATGCGTAAGACAAAGATATGTCCTCTCACTGGATTTATTCAACCTTCACATTGAGGCAATCTTAAGAGAACTACAAGTCCCACCAGGATTTATTATTGGTGGATATAATCTTAACAACTTAAGATACACAATGATAATGTGTTGATGGAAGACACGGATAAAAACGGAAGGAATTCCTTGATAAGATAGTAAAGGAAAGCTAGAAGAAAGGACTAAACCTGTATTGGAAGAAGATAGAATGTTAGGTCATTAGCAAGAAGGATAGTTTAAGACAAGAAATATGAAATGGAGATGTAAAAATCAAACAAGTATAGGATTTTAAATATCTGAAATTATTTTAATAGAGGACAAAAATGTTCCACGGGAATACGAAGGTGCCTTCCGGAAATTAAGCAATGTATAAAGAAAAGCGAAAATTTTGTTAGTAAGAAATACTGAACTACTATGAAATCTCAGTCTCCCTTATTGTCAATGAATGCTGAAAAGCCCTGTCGATTGAGGCTTCAGAATATCCCGACTGCACCTCTGCAGGGGGGTTAGACCCCCCCCTCCCGCAATGTGGTGTCCTGTGTATGACGAAAATGTATATCCGGCAGCAAGGCCTCTGATCAGGAGATTTTGAGGAGTGTGGAACCACCTCTTAATTGGGCAAATAGCTCAAACTCGGATCAAAACAGTATGAAAGAGTTTTTATAGTAACAATACGAGAAATACATTTTTTGAAAAAAAAAATTTCCGGTAATACCTTTGACTCGCTCCAAAAACCCTCTTTACAAAAATACGACAATGAAAACTGATCTACAAACTGATTTCTTACAAAGAATATACTATTCCTACAGACGGATCTATCCTAAAAATCTTGACGGCATTAAATAACCCATTGAGTTTGTTTAAAAAATGTTTTGTTTTAAAAACGTTTTTGAAGGGTGAACCTCAGGTCTGTTTTTAGATCAGCAAATATTCGCAATGCGTAATCTAGGCACAGAATGAAAAGGAAAGAAGGAAGCGTATCTTTCTGCGAGAGTCCCGCGACAACGTTGAAAAATTCCGTATCTCCATCAGATGATCGGACCATTGAGCGAGGATTTTTATACAGTAACATG